ATTAAATTATTCTATGCGCAATCCAAATTTTATTCCATACTCACTCCAGGTAGGCTTTTGTCCACGCGTGTCTTTATTCCAAAAACGTGCTGATATTCTAACGGTATTATCTGGCACATCCTTGTGCTACTAGACCCGCCTCCCCCGTCTGAGCCATGGTCTCCTTAGACTAATCGAGATTGTAACTTTGAAATTAACGTTATTTCCAAAACCATTTACTGTATTCCTCTTCGAGGAGGCGCTCAATGAAAGAATGGGTGGGAAGCACAAAGGTACTTTACTCGTAATTTGGTTAGGTTGAACAAGCTCGGCCTGTATCGAGTATACTCGTCTGTAATGAGGCACTTCACCGAAGCCAGCTAGTTGCACTTTTGTGTGAACAGTGCCTTGCTCTGCAATGGCCTACAGACAATGGTGTCATCGTTAACGTGGGTAGCGATAACGGTGGTGACTGTAACGGCTTAGATGAGGGCGCTGGTTCTACTAATGATGCAATACAAAGGACCGGCTTTACGCAACATTCATGTTGTTGCTGTATATGCAAACTTACCTCCCTCCCTCCCTCCTTTCACTTCGTTTTTCTTTCTATTTGAACTGGGATCGAAGTAGTTCGTTACTAATTGTAATGTCAGATCTTATTTTTTATGCCTTCAAGGTTAGTAATGGCTTTACGCGAGAGCAGCTGACTCAACTTAACAAGCGTCTGCGTCCTCAGTGGAAGACCTATGATCGCCGTAAGACAAATTCTGGTGAGACGGAGTGGTTGAGAGTGACCGCTGAACGACCAGATGTTTGGATTCCTCCACGCTATTCAGTAATTCTGCAGGTCAGTACGAACAAAATCCAGTTGGCTTTTAGCTTTGATGTGGCTTAAATTTCACACCGCATTCTAGCCAACAGTCTCGGAAAGTATTTGGGAAAGTGCTTGCAGGAGGACGTGGGCAATCATCACTTAGTTTTTGCTTATTCCTGGGTATTCGTGATTGACTGATATTTTGCGATGCATGTGGCACTAAGCGTGGATAGGTGCGCCATCATTCAAAGCGGGTGCACCACCGGTAAAGTGAAAATGCACGCAACCTGAACTGCATAACTGTAAGAGGAAGTACCATTTTGTCCGTCGTAATCGACGGTGGCCATTACCACTAGATCGAGCTTATGTTTCGTGTTTCGGGGAGGCTGTCGACTAATCTTCTCAGAAGAAACACAAAGGCGTTTACGTAGATGTTCCTCATATTTATATGTAGAAGGTAAGGGTAGATGGACGTGTTGCTGTGTCTGTTGTTTTTAGGTAACATCTCACCTGAGGCGACCAATCAGCTAGGCGGTGGCCTGTTGCTGGCAGTGGGGGGAGAGAGTGAGGTCGACCATCAGCGCATTTTTTCCTCACTAAAAACAAGCTGATGCGCTTGAAGCTATCACGATGCGCTAAAAGCCATGGCTTGGAGGATTGCCAACTGACGGGATAACTTGGACACTGCATTCAGCCCAGCGTGTGTCTCGTTATGTGGAGCGGCTTACCACGGGCTGAGAGTCAGGCTCAATTGCTCCTTCTTAATGTGGCCTTTATGGCGCTCCCAGGCGATAGCCTACCTAGTGAGGTTTGCTGTT